TTATTTATAATTGAGGTGTACAGTGTACCAGCCTCTTCCATAATGGAAGATCGATATAAATTTGCGGAAAAATTTTCGCTAGAAAAAGTCAGAGTAATGGTCTACTGTCACTAGAAACTTCCGTTGTTTCCCCTGATACTCTTAGAAAAAGACAACTGAAAATTATGATCAGAAACGGGTTAAATTTCCTGCATCTTATATAGAGTCGCCTCCCTCGCGCCTGGTGTTGTTGTGATTAAAGAGTCTGAGTTTATAAAGAGACGACTTGTCAAAATTGGAACAACCGATCATCTGTCTAAGGCTGCACAGCAAAAAAAAATGTAATATCAATCAACGTAATTCAAGCTGATGTATGAAATAATGATGTAATAGCAAAAAGCAGATACAATATTACATCAATGGATGTAATTTTGTTCGCAAAATCGATGTACATCGTACAATGTGATATTACACAACCGATTGATTGACCTGGTTGCAGCAGTTTCGATGTAATATTCAACAACTTTTTTTGCTGTGTGTGAACCATTTGCCGAGTTAAATTTAACTCGTGGTTAAAAGTGACATTTCGAAAGTTATTTCTTATGTTCGAAAATCCCCGTGCTGTCGATCGACCGGTTTTCGAGCCACGGTCGTCAAAATTTAACTTCTTGTCTGTCAGAAATAACCACGCTCGGATAGCAGGGTTAATCGATAACTTTTCATCTGTCAAATTTTAACCAAAAGTTAAAATAATCCACCAAATGGTTCAGAGCCTTAGGCGATCGACAGCACGGGGATTTTCGAACATAAGAAATAACTTTCGAAATGTCACTTTTAACCACGAGTTAAATTTAACTCGGCAAATGGTTCACAGCCTAAGTCATAGGAAAAGTTAAATATTCCAATCGAGTAGAAGACCTGTCAAATTGATAAGATGTCATCTCTTTATAAATTCAGGCTCTTTAGTTGTGATGATCCACATTTAGCACAGATTGAACATTGACGAATGCGGTCTTTTATGTAGCTGTTCAGTTTAGTTTTGGCCAACTTCATAGTTGATTCTATTCCGACACTTACATGAGCGTTCGTCGAAGGGATGCAGGAATTCCTTCATCTCTTTTTTGTCATGTTAATTAGAATTGTTCAGAATCCTCCATTTTGGATTACTGTAGTCCTCCCTGAGATTGTATGAAATCTCCCTAGAATTGTACGGATTCCTTTCTGGGATTGTTTGGAGAGAGGACTGTCATGAATGCACTTCAATTTTCACTGGAATCTTCCTTTTGACTGTCCAGAATCCCTGTTGGGTTTGCCCGAAGTCCCCTCTGATATTGTCCGGAAGCCGTACTGAGACTGTATAAAATCTTTTCTGATAATTGTCTGGAATCACTCCTGGGCTAGTTCAGAGTCCCTCCGTCATAAATCCCCTTTTCGATTGACTGGAATCCTTCCAGAGATTGTCGGAAGTCTTCCAGGGATTATCCAGAATCCCTCTGGAACTGTCCTGAATCCTTCTTGTGATGGTTGCTAATGTTTCGCAGCGTGCTATACGAAAGTGAAATTGCCTTTCCATTGCCTAAATATATTCTCGGTTAAGCTTTAGTTTGAAATGCAATTACGCCCCTTTGACATTTTGCCACTGAATTATCTTTGGATGACAGCATCGGTTTCAACACAACAACATGGTTGCTATGGGTAAATGTTGTAGAACAATGCGAGTTACTCAAAATTAACTCCGATTATACTCATGATCGAAAGCTGTCTTGCCCCAAGTCCGTCGCTACAGTTTCCGATTTAGAAAACATCTCCCCGGTGGAGCAACAGCCGATTAACACCCACTTCCAGCTCCGACGGCAACGCTACCAACCATTAGCCCCGTGGAATGTTCAGCCAGAGACTGCCGTCTACGGCCGCAGCAAAATCACGGTGGTGTATCGCAGAAATGGGACCGTATGACGATCATCCGGAAGGCACAACAGAAGCACCAAAAGAGGAAGGATGGATGTCGACCGTCAGTTGAACGGCACAGTGGTAATTCAGAGCTCGGTTCGCAGCTTCATCCAGCGGCAGTTTGCCAAGCCATGGAAACGGGATTGCTTCAACGAGTATTGTAGTACGTACGGGGTATGTAATTTGGCGGATTTTGAGTATTTGGTCAGCAGATTTTACGACGATGATCGAACTGAATTGGCCACTGGATTCGTTTGGTTCAGGGACCAGGTTGAGCGATTTGTCAGCGACGGTGAATTCCACCTGCTAAACTGCTTCATTGTCCTCGGCTGGTTGGTTCCCATCACTTTTCGATGCTGATCGGTCACAATCGGCATAACAAATTCATTCCAGTTCCATGTCTCAGTTTCGATCGGTGTACCAACAATCAATACGAAACTAACGATTTTAAATTGGCACATCACTTTAGTAGCCTATTGGTCCCAAGCAAACGATTAACGTACCCTATTCTAGTCGAAATTCTAGTACTACGCAATGTTTGTTTTGATTCGCTATGAAAGTTTGACAGATAAAATGAGGGGTTATTGGTTTTTTTCTATGTTTCGAGGGGTGAATCGATTAGCTTGAGACCGAAGAGAGTACCAGAGCTGAGCCAAAAAGTTGAGCACGTTATTTCGGGACCTTCTTGTCTTAGAGTTACCTCTATGGGTGTACTGCTGATGTTCCGATACGCTTGCTTTCGGTTTGCAACATTGCATTAAGCAAAACAAAACATTTGAACTGTCAAAATATCGGGTTGCGAAACATACAATTCTAGATAGAGCTGGAATTAGGGCGTAGCAGCTTTTGTAAACAATGACTTCTCTCGATGATTTCTCGAAAGTCATGACTCTCGCTGGCAAATCGACATCACCATCAAGTAGGAGAAGACTTCCCCTACCTGATGAATATTTTGGTTTGTGTAGGCGTGCCTTGATTTCCTAGAAATCAACGAGAGAAGTCATTGTTTACAAAAGCTGTCACGCCCTTATTCCAGCTCTATCTAGAATTATTCACAAACAAATTCAGTTCGGGGTCTGGCACTCTCGGAACAGCGCGGCACACTTGAGGCACACTGAGAAAAATGTTGTCGCAAAATAAGTGTGACCACTGCTTGAGGATTTCACAGTTTGAACGTTATGCTCGTATGTGGGATTATTTGTAGCATCAGCATCAACATGAGTTATTATTCTTGTACACTCTTTACAGGTTTGTGATCATCAAAAAATAATCACGATTCATTTATTTGGAATAATGCGTTGGACGTTGAGCTAAATCAGCAACACTAGAATGGGGAAAGAAACTCTTGATTTTTGGGCAAAAATAACAAACGTTTCACACGTGTCCAATTTATTGAATCTAAATCGTTGTTTGTTTACAGGAGATGCATGGTACCATTTAAAGCCTTATTTGATCACACTATTCCGTGCTTATGGCGATGCAGAATTTAGGGCAGTCTAAATTTAATGATATACATTCAAAAACAAGGAACTATTGGATTAATAAATGTGTTTGGATGCATCTTGGCAGCTCGTCTACTGCATTATACACCAGAAAAGGCCGCAAGAATTGTGATTGTTTGTTGTGCTTTGTACAATTTGAGAAAACAATTCAAAGTACCCGAATATAGCGTACAATTGGAGACAATTAATGGTCAAACCTTGGGTAAAACTGATGACATTGGATATGATGATGCAAATGATTTTGTTTCCAGTTGGATCATCAATTTACGTCTAACCTCTCTTGATATTCTTTTGAAACCCTGAATAAGAATATTTTGGATTCAGATAATAAGAATCCTGGTTAGGATTTTGAGTGAATCTAGAGTCATATTACAAGATAATCCCGACCAAAGCTTTAAAAGGATCTCGCGTAGATGATTTCAAACAGGGTTTCGGTAAAATAAGGTAATCAATTAACTTTAAAGTACTTTTATTGAAGAATTGTGACTGCTTTTGTTTGTTTCAAATAGTATTTTATTTTTCTATTTGTATACTTTCATTGCGGTTCAAAATTTAAGGTTTCTTTTTTTGTGCTTCAACAGCTCCATTTATCCATCCATTATATTCTACAGTGACAGTTCATCGGAATTCTTTTATAATCGACTTTGTCACTGCATTCGGCTACCATGATCGGGCGACATAAACGGCTCGAGTCGTAGAATAAACACAATAACTTGTGTAGTTTTAGAATAAAGTGCAGAGCAAGTGACGGTTGAATTTTTTTTTTTTTTTTTTTGGGATTGGTGACATAATATATTATACACGGCGAATGAGAACGACTCAAATTTGAGTTTAGTTCACTCATAATCGCTAAAAGTGCAGGAACTCAGCAATGAGTTAATTTGCCTCATGTTTTCCCAGGTTTTTCCAGGATTTTCCAGGGAAAAATTCCCGAATTTGAAAAGAGTAAAGATTGGATTCACTCAGTCTATTGGTACTACTCCGAGACTGAATAAAATGTTCGTCAATTTCCTCATTTTCCGGCAGATTTTTTAGGTTTTCCACAGGAAACCATGGGAAAATTTTACTCATCGCTGAGTTCCTGCACTTTTGGCGATTATGAGTGAACTAAACTCAAATTTGAGTCGTTCTCATTCGCCGTGTAGAATAAAAATAAAATTTGCATCACAAACTAAATTTATTTATTCCCATACCGATTATCATCAACCCGCAAATCTGCCAACGCTGGTCTGGTGAACGGAACTCATCGTCGAAAAAGAAAAACTCAACGAAACCACCCATCGTTCAATTTTGGAGAGAAAATTTCGCTCAGCGGGAGAACTAATAAAAAACCGAGTAAAAAACAAAGCATTTGCGCTCTTCGCTCACTTTCCACGATAGCCGTGAGGCAAACAACCATCAATATCCCGCAGCAAACCCTCTTAGCAGCAAACTGAATGGGATCCGTGGGGCAAACAAACCCATCCCCATGCAATCGGAAGTTTGCCCTATCGTATGACGCGAGAGAGAATATTTTTTTTTTTCGTTTGACACTTGGCAGAGAAAACATAAAAACAAAAAAAATTCTCTGTATGTGGCTGGCTGCCTTCTTCTCGAGTCCGACTGAATTTTGTCTTTCTATGGTGGCAAATAAAAGTTAGTGAACCAAATCCAAACGAGAAAAAACGGCAAGGCAAAGTGTGATTTTTTCGGGCCACTGCTGGTGCCCTTGGAGTGCAGCGCATACAGAAAAAATAAATATCAATCCGACGGTCCCGTCTTCCGGTCGTCGGTGGACAGACAGCAACCATCAGCAATTTTGCTGATCGCGGGTGGTGCCAGTCCGTACGGAGCTCTGTTTGGGTTCGTGCGTCGTGATATTTGGCTCCCTGCTGGTGTTAAGTGATTAAGTTAAGATTCCGTCTCGACCCCCCTCCAAAATGGGAAAGTACACGCACAGTTCGAACCTGAGCAACCACCGGAACTTGGAGCAGATTAGCAACGAGCTGATCCAGGAAACCAAAGTCTGCACCGACCAAAGCCCGCTGCCCAAGAGCCTCCGGGAGCGATTGGAAGGGTAAGTTTGTGCATTTGTTTTCTGGGGATACCTCAAGGGGAGCGAGAGTTCGGGTGTACCATCGCAATAAGATCGATGCTGCGGGTGGTAAAACCGTCTCATTCGACGTCAAGGTCGGTGTCGTAATCGATTTTCCACTGTGTTTTTCGATGCGTTTCATCAGCTGGGGGTTTGTATATATGCTAGGTGTAGTTTGTGGTTCATGGAAGGTGATAATCATTCAGATTGAAATGAATAACAAAATTTCGGTTTTTCCTACAGCTTACCACGCCACATTCGCAAGGAGGTGGTCAAACGAGCTCGGGACGGTTGTTCGCCGTTGTTCATAGCCTGCCGTCGGGGAAATGTTAAGATCACCGAGTATCTCATCACGGTCTGTGACGCGGACAGTGAGCAGAAAGGCCTCTACGAGGTTCCGGAAGATCGTTCCGTTCACTGTGTCACTCCGTTGTGGTGTGCTTGCGTTTCCGGCAAGCTCCCGGTAGTGAAATGTCTTGTCCGACTGGGCGCCAATATCAACGCTCTCTCCGATACGGGCTCGACGCCGCTGCGAAGTGCCTGCTTCATGACGCACATCGACATTGGTAAGTGCTTTTGTCGTTCAATAAGGAAGCACCATTCGCCTAATCGTCTAAGGTCATTGTTTTTTTCCGCTCTTGCAGTTCAATATTTAGTGGAGAATGGAGCTGACATCCGGAAGCCTAACTATAATGGAGGAACATGCCTTATCAACTCGGTTCAATCGGTTCAACTGTGCAGCTACCTAATTAGCAAGGGTGCTGACGTGAATGCTCGTGACATACAGGACAAAACCGCTCTCCACTATGCCATTCAGGAGCACCGGCTGGAAACGGCTCAGCTGCTGTTGGAGCACGGAGCTGATCCCTTTGCCAAAAGCCGCTACGGGGATGACGCCTTGCAGACGGCTTGCCTTAAAGGGGCACACCAGATCTTTGATTATCTCAAGAATCGCATCAACTACTCGTCGGAAAGGTTGGCCGATGCCCACGAACTGATCGGATCCACATTCATAGACGATCACAATGAGACCCGAGTTGCGATCCTGCACTGGCGGTTAGCTCACCACATCCGTCTGAGGGATGCAAACTACATTCGCAAAAAGCCGGACGTCCCACTCCGATACGCCTACGGCAACGCGATCGAGTTCTCCACCATTGCCGAGCTGGACAACATTGCAGCCGATGTGGACGCCATGCGAATTCAGAGCTTACTCATCTACGAACGGATACTGGGAATTGATCACAAGGACACGCTGTTCCGGCTGATGTTCAGGGGAGCATCCTACGCGGATTCGCTACGTTTTCAGCGGTGTATCGATCTGTGGCTATTGGCGCTGCAGGTTCGGGTGCAAAAGTATTCGATCCTGTACTCGGACGCCTGCCTGACGGCCCAGGCAATTGTGAGGCTCATGTTGGACCTTTTGGACAAGTACGCGGACGTGATGCCGAACGAGTTTGTCGAGCGGGGGATGCCACGCTTCGAGGATGTCTATGCCGTGTTTCAGGTGCTGACTTCGAATATTAACGGTAAGTGAAAGAGGCAAAAATGTCGACAAATACAGTGTAATTGTACATTGATCCGATGAGGGGGTAAGCAAGTTTTAAGAGGGAACTAGAGGTAACCGATTTCGGTAAAATTTTGGAAACATTCTGAGCCGATTTCTTCACCTGCGCTTAAGCCTTAAACCAAGTTTGAGTAAATGGGTAAACATGGTTTAAGATTTTTAGCGGCCCTTAGTTTCAAAACTCCTACCATAAGTTAAATTCTTAGAACTTTTTTTTTGAGCAGAGACATTATTGGTAGGCATTGGAAATCAAATCATCGGCTAGTTAAGTCAAGTTTTGATTTAAGTCTCCCAAAAACCATCAAGTTATGAACCCGAATAGGCACCAATTTGTTTTACCTGTAGATGAATAAGCTAAAAAAAATCGCTGCAGACTTAACTTGAATTGAAGATGTAAACCATCCGGCCTTAGAGTGGGTGGAGAAAGGTTTGAAGAAACAAGTGATCACGCTTAGGCCAGAAAATCGTAGGACTTTAAACTAGATGGTGTACAAAAAGATCCGGCAGTACGTAACTTTAATCCATTAACAGTTTGACCACAATCGCAATTTTTACGTACCCTTGGTGAAAGGAAGTACTTCAGTGATAAATTGAAGAAGTGTCTGGCCGTACAAGTCCACAACAAAACGATACAACCAGGAAGGAATATTCCATCACTGGGAGAATTATTATTATTTTATTATAGAAACTTTAACATTTTAGTGTTATTCATCTCCGCTTCTTTCTAAATCTCATAATTCTAAATTTTCTCCAGTAGTTCGGTTTTCTATAGAAATTGGATTAACTTGGTTTCCCTAGTTTTATCGTTGCTGAGTACTCCGCTGATTTCGTTTCCCAGCTGCACTTTGTCGTCGTTTTTCCAGCAATCAAACAGTAAATGACTGATGGTTAGGCTGGTTCCGCAAACTAAGAACTAATTGCGCTATCCTTGTTAAGAAGCGCCTGATGGGTGATCCATGTATGGCCTATGCAAATACATGTTAACACTCTCCGTTCCACCTGTGATTTGCGGTCTATTCAGGGAAACGATGATCCTTTATGTTTTCAAAGGAAAGCTCCTCTATTAAAGAGCCACTCACTCCACCCAACTCCATCGAATCAACTTTTTCACGATTCGTTTGGCGTCTTGTGCTGCTATTGGGATCATGGCATCTCCTGTTTTCGACCTCTCGCCGCTAAACGATCCGCTCGTTTATTGTCCTGAAAGCCTGGAATCCAACAAAACGTTGCCTTTTTTTGCTTCGTCAAAATTTCAACAGGCTGTAGCCATGGATGCTTGGTTTAACCTGATTCTAGAACCATCAGGCAGCTGGCAATTTGAAAATACAACAGGTTTAGGATTCGAGGCCGTTATTCTCTGTAGAGCGCTCAAAATGTTTATTTTAATGGTTAGACATTTTTTCGACTTTCTCGGGCATCACTAGCACAATGATACATATTAGGGTGGTTCAAAATGTCAATTTTGCTCCACCAAGCTCAATCGATTTTAAATCAGGTCCTGATTATTCTCCCAAAATGTGAGCTCATTTGGTGGCAATCTTATACTGCACTCGCCCTTTGAAGTTTGTATGTGAGTTACTATGGGAAAAGAGAACTTTTTGTTCTCCTCGTCATAGCCTTTCGTCATAATGATATACGAGTAGACTTGCTATCTTATAGGAAATTTTCTCAATGCTATATTTTTATTAAACGCCAGGATAATTAGTTATTAATTAATTAGAAAGATGACATTCTTCTGCCATGTTCCATAAACTGCTCAGCAGGCAACATTGGTGTGCTTGGCGCGAAGAATAGGGCAATCCAAGCTACTATGTCAAAGAGCAAGATACAGTGTTGTCCTGATAGCAGTCGATTTATCATCATAACAGAAAGTTATCGGCTTCAAAATCACTTAATAACTAATTATCTTAATGTTCAAGTTGCAAGAAATCACTATGAAAAAAGGCTAGGATTTCTTCAAATTAAAAACAGAATAACTACTATGCAACATGGCTTCTTTAAAGGCCGTTCAACAACTACGAATTTGCTTGTAGAAGTGTTGTATGCAGATTTCAGCAAAGCGTTTGATCGAATTGACATACCCATGCTTCTTTTTAAACTTCGAAAAATAGGAATTTATTACGCACTCCTCAAGTGGCTTAAATCATATTTAACTGAGCGCCATCGAAAAGTAAAATACAAAGGAAAGACATCAAATCCCGTTGAGGTCACTTCAGGAGTTCCTCAAGGCTCCCATTTAGGACTTTGGAAATAAAAGATACCAAAGGCAACAACACATTCAAAGAGGAAATACAGATATTCCATACTTGGTGTCATAAATGCCTGCTACAATTAAATATAAAAAAAATTAACTCAATTACCATTAGTAGAAAACGAATCCTACCCGATAACAATCACTTTAGGAAACCAGAACGTAAAAAAGTGTGATAGATTCAGGGATCTAGGTGTTATTTCGGACTCAAAACTTACTTTCACCGATCATTATAACACAATTATTAACAGAGCTAACCAGTGGCGTCTCGTAACCTCACTTTTTACCTGTGCACCAACTTTCAAAACCAGATTTAATGGTATATTCATACTCGAATCGGTTGAAAAATACACTCAATCTTCTAGTTTACTCGATATCTATCCATTACAAGCAATATTTTATGATAATTGTTTATGTTTTGAGAGCTGGTGCACAGGTAGATTGAGGTTAAGAAAACGCCACTGGAGCTAACAACATGCTTGATTCCATAAAACGTTTCTGCTATAACTTTCCCGATCCGTATACGATAAAAACATTGTAAAGTCTGCAACGCGCAAAAAATAGTCAACTTCAAATTGGTGTATTACTGATAAAAAATGCATAAACAAAAACCTGAAATGCTGCATTGCAACAAGTTGAGTGTATATACAATGGTTGCTATGATGAGTTTTCACCGTTTGCTCTCCAGTTTTCAAAATGACGTCCAAGCTAGAGGAGCAGCGTGTCAAAATTTTAATCGCGCAGCAAGAAAATCCGACATTTTCAGACGGCAAATTGGCAAAATTGCTGGATGTGGCCAAATCGACCGTGACAAACGTTTTAAAAGTGTTCGGGGAGCGTCTGTCGACCGCCAGGAAGTCTGGAAGCGGCGGCAATCGTAATCCGGACGTGGCAGCGACGACGAAGAAGGTGGCGGTGAAATATAAGCGGAATCCTGACCTCTCCATCCGGGACGTCGCTGGCAAGCTTAATGTCTCCCATACTACTGTGCAGCGGGCCAAGAAACGAGCCGGGTTGTCAACGTTTAAGAAGGTGAAGGTGAACCGAGATTACAAACAAAACACGTCGGCAAAGCAGCGGTCCCGAAAGCTGTATACGAATCTGCTCTCAAAGTTCGACTGTGTCGTCATGAACGACAAAACTTATGTGAAGGCGGATTTCAAGCAGCTTCCGGAACAGGAGTTTGATACCGCATCAAGAAAAAGGAAGGTGGCTGAAATGTTCAAAACCATCAAACTATTGAAGTTCCCGAAAAAATATCACGTCTCGTAGGCCATATGCACGTGTGGTCTAAAAAGCGGCATTTTCATTACTACGGGAACCATCAATCAAGAGATCTACGTCCAGGAGTGTCTGGAAAAGCGGCTGCTACCATTCCTAAAGCAACATAATAGACCTGTGCTGTTCTGGCCGGACTTGGCGAGCTGCCACTATCTGAAAAAGGCAATCGAGTGTTACGATGCGAACGACGTGGTTGTGGTACCCAAAGACCACAACCCTCCCAACAGCCCAGAACTCCGCCCTATCGAACGGTATTGGGCCTTGGTCAAACGGAATCTCAAAAAATTAATCCTAATTATTTAACCTTGTAATAATTACGCCTACCAGATATAAACAATTTGATCAAGAGACAAGTGTTGTAATAAAATGGGTACTTTGGGCTCTTTTCTAACAAGTTATGAGATAAAAACCTTTGAATTTAAATAATGTCTTATTTTTTTCAACAATATGAAAAAAATGTATTTTTTATGTTTTTTTGTGCTGTTTTAGACTTGAAAAAGTTGTGCAATCTTGCGCGATCAGATCATATAATCTATGGACGAATGAAAGTTCACGTTATTATGAACACATTGGCATTGGAATTTCGTCCGGAGTCGTCCGGATTGGCGATTGCGAGCCATTTGAAATTGGCATGTTCTGCATCATTGCGTGGCAAAATTTTATCCCTTTATAAGGTCATACTTCCAGAAAACTACCGTAACACAACGGTTTTCTGCAGATACCTATGACAAACTTACCGAGTACTACTTCTGTCCTTATTTAATCTATTACATCAATTGTGGTACTAGATTAAAATTACACTTCAGTAAACTACTCCCGGTTTGATACCCATGGCCAGCATCATTTTACTAATGTTGCTAAGTTTTTAAAGCTAGTACCTCAATTGATTTAGTAGCATAAAGGAGTGTAACGCTAGAAACACCATGTGTCATTAGTTTATTTTTATAATTTGTGTGTGTAGCAAGAGTAAGCTTTCTTTGCCTTGTAATTCAATGTTTATCACAGACCGTTTACCCCATAAAGTATTTCACTTTTCAGCTAGATACTGTAAATTTTGAAAATTAGCGATTGCCATTTGGTTGTAATACTCTCTCATACACACACACACACATTTACCCATTCGATTTTACACACACATAGGTTCGTTCAAGCTAAACTAGCAGCGATGTCAATCATACATCATACATACATTCAAGAGCAAATTTTCATTATGTCGTAAGTAACATTCGCACCGATCCGAGAAAAATAAAGTTTTGTTTCGATGACCGAAAAGTTATTCCTATTTCCAATTAAACACATATAATCTCATAGTGATAGCAATGTTTAACATATTTAGCCGGGTTTTAATCATACAAAGGCAAATCGCTAGCTTTCATGCTAAGAAATACTGGTTTTTGAGTCAAAAGTTATTATACGTCGTTTGGTGGCCC